GCCACCTTAGGTGTATGTGGCTGACGCCCTAGCCACTTGAGCCACAGGCGCCAAGCCAGAATTTCAAAGTTTTAAGGTGTCTTCCTCTGACAGTCTGAGAGGCCTACCAGGAAGCAAATTCTGTGAACACAAAGTGAAAATAATGTACATAACTTTAATAGCAAATGACTAAGTAAAACTCAGTGACCAAGTGGGCCACAGACAACTTGAGGAGCCTCTTATTTCTTTTAAAAATTGTTTATTGAGATAAACAGAGGCAAAGAGGAGAGAAAAGAAAACAAGATTTTGAACAGTGCTTACTGTATCTGGAAGTGGTCTGCCATTCAGTGACTGTCCTTTTCATTGAGAACCAGAATTCCTTTCCCAAAGGCCAGTGATTGCTGGGGGCAGTGTATAGAACTATGGAAGGAAAATTTAAGAAAAGCAATGAAGCAGGAAGGGAGACCATGGTAGAAAATTATAAAATTAAGAGCCATTAAGTTAATTCAGAAATTCCCAGTGTTCTGGCTTAGTAAGATCCTGAAATGATAAAAGTGTGTTTTAAGTCTAAAGAGATGCAATTCTCTAATGTCCACTAGAGGTCAGTGCCTCAGCTTAGGAAGCCTCGTCTGCCAATTAAAAAGAAAAAAATTAGTTTCTCCGCTTTGCATCAATCAGCAAGTATTTTGTGGTAGCAATAGTCAGAGGTAAATAAACATTGAATTGTCTTGTTGCTGTTGTTGTTTTGAGACAGGGTCTCATTCTGTCAACCTGGGTAGAGTGCCATGGCCTCACTGTAGCTCACAGCAACCTCAAACTCTTGGGCTTGAGCAATCAATCCTCTGGCCTCAGCCTCCTGAGTAGCTGGAACTGCAGATGCCCACCACAATTCCTTAGTATTTTTTCTATTTTTAGTAGAGATGGGGTCTCACTCTTGCTCGGTCTGGTCTTGAGCTCCTGAACTCAAGCAATCCATCCACTAGGCCTCCAAGAGTTCTGGGATTACAGGTGCAAGCCACCACACCCATCCCATTGGATTGTCTTGAAACATGGCTCCATGGGGGCGGTGCCTGTGGCTCAAAGGAGTAGGGCGCCAGCCCCATATACCAGAGGTGGTGGGTTCAAACCTGGCCCCGGCCAAAAACTGCAGAAAAAAAAGAAACATGGCTCCAAGAATGGACCTCTCTGACAACAGGTCCAGCATTTCTCTTGCCTACTGGTACCTGAGGGCCTAGGGAAATACAGGCTTTAGAACTGGCTCTCTTCCATCATTAGGACTCAGTTCTGATTTCAAGGTTGACTCAGGGGTGGCGCCTGTGGCCCAATGTGTAAGGCGCCAGCCCCATATACCAAGGTTGGTGGGTTCAAACCCAGCCCCAGCCAAACTGCAACAAAAAAATAGCTGGGCATTGTAGTGGGTGCCTGTGGTCCCTGCTACTCAGAAGGCTGAGGCGAGAGAGTGGCCTAAGCCCAGGAGTTGGAGGTTGTTGTGAGCTGTGACACCACAGCGCTCTATTGAAGGCAATAAAGTGAGATTCTGTCTCTAAAAATAAATAAAAAAGAAATTTAAAACAATTTTTAAAAAAAGGTTGACTCAGATGAAGAAGGATGATCCCTGTCTACTGTTATTTCTGCAGGAAGGCGCAAGTTAGGGATTAGTTCTAGGTCCTGATTCCCTATCCATGTCTCTGGCAGGCTCGTGGGAAAGTGAGTGAGATCATTAACAATGCCATTGTGCACTACCGGGACGATCTGGATCTGCAGAACCTCATCGATTTTGGTCAGAAGCAGGTATGGGCTAAGCATGGTGGAGTCAGCTAAAGGTTGGGGGGTGGGGAAGGTAAAAGTTAATTTCATCCCAAGAGATACCTCATCCTCTAGTCCTGTGGGCCTCTTTATTACCTGCCAGATAACAGATTCTGTTTGGCAAAAAATCATACATAGTAGAGTGCTTTAAAAGTAGTTTTAACAGGCCAGGTATGGTGGCTCACTCCTATGATCCTAGCATTCTGGGAGGCCAAGGTTGGTGAGTGGCTTGCTTGAACTTACAGGTTTGAGACCAGCCTGAGCAAGAGCAAGACCCCATCTCTAAAAATAGCCAAGCATTGTGGCAGGAGCCTGTAGTCCCAGCTGCTCGGAAGGCTGAGGCAATACAATTGCTTGAGCCCAAGAGTTTAAGGTTGCTGTGAGCTATAACACCATGGCACTCTACCCAGGGCAACAGCTTGAGACTCTATCTCAAAAAAGAAAAAAGATCAATGTTGGGTTCCCCTTCCCCTGGTGCAACAGTCCTTGACTTTAATATCCAGTTTGCTTTCATGGAGTAAGTATGGATTCACAATGTTGAAGATTCCCCCTGCTGTGTGTTCTCTATCTGAAGACAAGATTTTTCAGCACTGATCCTTAAATTATTTCTACTAGTATTTTTTAACATCTCCTTTTGCCAGATTCTGTGCTATGCAGAACTACAAATCTGAAAAAGTCTCTCAAGAAACTTATAGGTGAATGTGTAAAACAAAATATATACACATTTGTAATACCAACAAGCGCTTGGTAAGTTATAACAAGATATATAAAGTAATAAAAAAAAATTTAGGTGAAGGCATCTAGGAAGTTTGAGCTCAAGGTTCAAGGTTGTGTTTAAACTTTAAGCATAACCTGAAATTACAAAGAGAAGCTTACCATAGACTTCTGGCCACTCTGAGAATTCCCCTGGTGACCTCTGTGTTAAAGGTAGGTGATCCTTAACCTTTGGTGGGGCTTTGTCTCAGTTCAGCTGCTGTGGAGGGATTTCCTACAAGGACTGGTCCCAGAACATGTACTTCAACTGCTCGGAAGATAACCCTAGCCGTGAGCGCTGCTCTGTGCCTTACTCCTGTTGCTTGCCTATCCCTGACCAGGTGAGCAAACTTCCCACCTCATTTTCCCCCAGGCAGTGATCTGAGTTACTTTTTTTCTTTCTTTCTTTTTTTTTTTTTGCAGTTTTTGGCCAGGGCTGGGTTTGAACCCGCCACCTTTGGTATATGGGGCCAGCTTCCTACTCTTTTGAGCCATAGGCACTGCCCTGAGTTATTTTTCAATTAGGGGAACTGATATCTGGGGTCTCCATTCCCTAGCGTTAACAACCAATCGTGTAGGTCAGCTGTCAGGTGTTTTTCTTCCCCCCAATTGGATGGTTCTGTTAACCTTTCACTCCTACAGCCCACATTGAGCTTCAGAAGGGGAAGATTTAAAGCAAGGAGACCTAGGCTCAGACCTCTCAAAGGAAGGGTCATCTACATTTAGTAAATTCCAGCCCCACATCCTCCACATATATTCTCTAACAATTTAGGAGTTTAGGAAGGGTGGGAAGCCCCAAACAAAGAGCTATTGGAATGGAAGTCCCACTTGGCTTTTCAACTCTTTCCCCAGGCAGTGATCAACACTATGTGTGGCCAAGGAATGCAGGCCTTGGACTACTTGGAAGCTAGCAAAGTCATCTACACCAATGGCTGTATTGACAAATTGGTCAACTGGATACACAGCAACCTATTCTTACTTGGCGGTGTGGCACTAGGCTTGGCCATCCCCCAGGTAACTTACTCTGTGAGAAGTTTGGGTCCCACAAACTCTTCAAAGACTCCTTTGTTTGGGGGAGGACACCTGGGGGCCAGCTAGGGTGTAAAGCATTGACATTGCTGAGGGGTAGTGTACTGACCGCACTAGGAAGACTGAGTCAGGGAAAACAAGGGCATCACTCATTGCTGAGGGCCCAATTCCTTCTTGCCTCTCCCAGCTGGTGGGAATCCTGCTATCCCAGATCCTTGTGAATCAGATCAAAGATCAGATCAAGCTACAGCTCTACAACCAGCAGCACCGGGCTGACCCATGGTACTGAGAATCCATCCGGCACTTCCTCATCATGGCAACAGGCAAGTCTCATGGACCAAGAACTGTGAGTGCTAAAAATGGCACCAAATGGAGATTTGGATTCCAGCCCCCAGTGACAGCCCTGTGAGAAGAAGCAAACTCCAGAGGGGCAGAAGGCAGGGTGCATAGGTGGCTCAAGTCTCAGAAGATGTGCCTCCTCTCCCCCATCCTAGCCCTCAGCATCTTTAGAGTGTTATAATGTTAAGCATTTGGGTTTGTGTTTTAAGTTTGGTTTGGGCAGAGATGCTTGGGAAACTGCACTTGCACAGAGTTGCCATGGGGCTGCCTTTGCCCAGAGGCACCACAACCAACAGTTCTATTAGGGCTGTTACCAACCTTGGTGGACATAGTCAGATTATAACTGTTGTCAGCAAGACCTGGCTGTGGAGAGTGGACAACAGCAGCCCTGCCTGGAGCCCAGTTGGCATGACAGCAGCTCCAGAAGGGAAGGGAGTGGAGCAGGCAGTGGGGAGTGAGCGTGAGGGTCGGATGGGGACAACTGGATGAGTTACGTAGGAGTGAAAAGAGATGTTTACCAAATGCCTACCCTGCCATCCTCCCAGGTAGTGAGAGCGAGCTACATCCTGCCCCTCCTTCGTTTCCATGGAAACGTGGCAGCAAGGGCAAGGGTTACAACAGCAGCCAAATCCAATTCCACCCCACCCCCTTCAGAACCATAGTTTGGAACTATAGTCCCTACGCTTTGCTGTGGAAGAGGGACTGAGCCATATATGCCCTTGAATTCCTCCCTGTCTGAAGCTACCTCTCCAGCAAGTGGAGTTTTCTTTAACTTGGCAACCCGCAGGAGAATGGTAACATCCACCAACACCCCTCTCCCCCCCCACCCCCGGACCCCGCACCGGAGCTCAGTATTGCTACAACTAAGAAGCAGGAATCTTGCTGGGGCTGGGGGAGCCAGAAGTGACAATAAAAGTTTGTTGACCTGGGCTGAGCTGGACTCCATGAATTTTCCATTCTGGCATCTAGGAGGGGAGAGGTAGAAGGCCTATCCTGTGGGCACTGCCTCCAGGAGGGCACTGGAGACTCCCCTAAAAACCACCGCACCTCCCCAGTGTGGCCTCACTGTAAGGATTCATCTCCCTCAACCCGCTGCACTGCCACCCTCCCACAACCTCGCCCTCTGTGGTCCAAAGTAGGTCGCAAGATGACCAGTTTTGATCTGGGAACAGCGTAATTTTATTCCCAATCCTGACGCTATTTTTTTCTGAATTAAAGCGGATTAAATTAATTTGCCATACAAAATTTAGGATGGGGGGAGGGAAGGAAATGAGGAGGAAGGACAAGTTTTCACCCCCAGTTTGGGCACCCCAGCCCATTTCTCCCTCGTTATCCGAAAGTGCTGGGTACCGCAGCCCAGCCAGCCTTAGGGAGGACTCAGGAAAAACTTGGAGTGGTGCGCGGGGATTCCTGGCGCGGAGAGGAGCGTAGAGGGTGCGTGGCTGGGGGAAGGGGTGGGGCCGGGCCGCTGGGCTCCGTGGGTGGTCCCGGCCCCGCCTCCTGCCGGGGAGCAGCGCGGGGGCTGAGCGGGCCTGCTGATCCGCGGGTGGCCCGCGAGTCTGTACTGTCGGGGGGTTCAGGCCAGGGTCTCGGGCTGGCCAGAAGAAGCCTCGAGAGAATCCACGGCCCTGGAGAGACCAAGAGTCTGGAGATCGCTCCCCGCCCCCAGCGACTCTTAAGTGAGTCTTCTGCTTCTGGGAGGGCCACTTTCCAGCAGCTGCCTGGAGCCTCGGCCAATGTTTAGCTCCCAGCTAGTAACAGAACGGAAAGAAAAAATAAAATCATGTGGAATATAAAATAAAAAGTAAGGGCATTTTACTCTGGGAGAGTCAAGTAAAAAGGTTTCTTGGTAACACGCCTTTCTTGCCCAGGACCCAAGAAGTACATTTTATGTACTTTTTCTTCTTTTAGTGACACAGACCCAGAGTCAGTGTTGGGTTAAGGGTTGGGGTGATGAACCTGCGGGTTCAGAGGCTTCTAGGAGCTCACCTGGCTCTGGAAGGAAAGACCAGAAGAGCGGTCCCTTTTGAAGGGTGGTCCTCAGACTCATGATTCAAATCCCTTTTTTTTTTTTTTTTAACTCCAAACAACGTTTTTACCACAGTTTCCACTGTCTCTTAGTATCTAGCCTTCTGGGCCTAGACTAAGACTTTAAAACACTTTGAACAAATGTTTAGAAACTTGCAGTGCAGGTGAGTGTTCTAGAAAGATTCCGGATTATCAGTGTCTCTGGTTCACCACCTCTCTAGCATTTTTCCTGCTGCTGATGGAAAAAGTGCCCCAATTTTAAAAAGTTTTTTCATTGTTAATTTCATTTTTCAATTAAATTTGTGCCTTGAGTTTCTACCTATTTCTAGTAACCTTAGTCTCAGTCAGGTGGGATTAACACCCATACCTTAGACAGCTATCAAACCTAGCCCCCAAATGTGATTGAATGGAAGGAGTTTTGGGGGCACAGCAGAAAACAGGCAGAGTGGGCAGAGGTGTAGGGAAGAGACCTGAAGGATAGCAAAAACCTGTCTGGGTGACAGGGTCAAAAGACATGATGAGGTTCTGTGGGCTTCAGTCCCTATAGTTAAATAAGGACTTGTGTCTGAGAAAGCAAATTTTGCAGAATGTTCAATGAAATTCTGATTTCTTCTGCATTATTTTTCTATTGTTATTGTCTCCAAATTACCATGAGTTTAGTGGCTTAACACAAATTTGTTATTTTACCATTCTGGAGGTCAGAAATCCAAAATGGGTCTCACTGAACTAAAATCAAAGTGTGAGCAAGGCTGTATTCCTTCTGGAGGCTCTACAGGAAAATGTGTTTTCCAGCCTGTAGAGGCCACCTTACATTCCTTGATGTGGACCCTTTCTCCATTTTCATTCCTTTTCTCCTTTTGAGACAAAGTCTCACTCTGTTGCCCAGGCTAGAGTGCTGTGGCATCATTGCTCACAAATAACCTCAAATTCCTGGGTTCAGGTGATCTTCCTGCCTCAGTCTCCCAAGTAGCTGAGACTACAGGCATCTGCTACCATGCCCAGCTAATTTTTCTGTCTTTAGTAGAGATAGGGTCTCAGTCTCATTCTTGCTCAAGCTGGTCTCAAATTCCTGAGCTCAAGCAGTCTCTTGTCCCAGACTCCCAGAGTGCTAGCTAGGATTACAGGTGTGAGACACTGTGCCCAGACATCCTTTCTCCATTTTCAGAGCACATCACTCCAACTTCCATCATCACATCTCCTTTTTCTCTGAGTCTCCCACCACTCTCTTATAGGACCTTTATGATCATATTGGGCCCACTCCCATTATGCAGGCTATTCCTCCCCTTTTAAGATCCTTATTTTAACTACATCTACAAAGAGCCTTTACTATGTAAGGAAAGATATGCAGACTTCCAGGGATTAGGACGTCAACTTTTTTTTTTTTTTTTTGGTGGCATTATTTAGACTATCACATCCCCCTTCCCAGCATCACGCACAGTTTCAGGTGGGGGACACATAGGAATGAATTAATGTTGGTTACTGACATGAATTTGAGGAAGGTGTTCTCTGGCCTTCATTCCAATAATTACCTAACATCTACTGAATGCTTATTGTGTGCCAAGCACATATTTATTATGAATTTTAACATGCAGGCTTTGCTATTTTCTGATTTATCCTCATTCTTACTCTATGTTAAGAGGGTCAGGGGCTAGTTCAAAAGGGGAGCAGCACAGCTTCTTCCATCAGAAGAATCCTCTTGGTCCATCACTCTAAGAAGATTAGGAATGTTTTGCAAACACCCCCACCCTCCAGAAAATAAGAATAATTAAATATTCCAAGTCACCATAGATAAAACACTTAAGAGGAGGAAATAAAGTAAGTGGTAACTACAAATTAGAACTTGGGTTGGAAATTAAGCCTCCAGAGTCTTTTCCCTACCACACCAAGAACCTGGAAAATCAATCAGATGAATAGAATAGCTGAATATGAGGCTCAATGAATAGATGAATGAGTAGAGATTCTGGAAATACTTTCAAACATCAGTGGTCACCGTCTAATAAACAAGAAGCAACAGTGATGAGAGGAGGGGGAAATCATTAACAAATGTTATTAGACAAATGGATTACAGTATGGAAAATAAGTAACAGATTGATATCTCACATCATACACTACAATGCATTTTGGAAGAGTAAAGGATCTAAATGTTTTAAAGTAAACAACAACAACAAAAAAAAAAGAAAATCAGAATATCATATTTGTCCTAACTCTAGGGAGCTAGAGTGAACAGCTTTTCAGTATATCTGTGCAGCTCACAATGATTCTTCCTTCTTTGAAAATTAGTCTCCTGCCCCGAACCACATGGGTGAGCCTGAGGAGCCCCATTTATACTATGAAACCTGGTCCCCTAGGCATAGCTGATCAGATCCTCTAGGGCTGCCAAAACAAAGTACCACAAATGGGCTGGGCTGGGTGCAGTGACTCGAGCCTGTAATCCTACCACTCAGGGAGGCTGAGACACGTGGATTAATTGAGCTCAGGAGCTCGAGACCAGCCTGAGCAAGAGCAAGACCCTATCTCAACTAAGAACAGAAAAAACTAGCTGGGTGTGGTAGCAGGTACCTGTAGTCCCAGCTACTGGGGAGGCTGATGCAAGAGGATACTTGAGCCCAAGAGTTTGAGGTTCCAGTGAGCTATGACACCACGGCACTCAACTCCAGGGTGACAGAATGAGACTCTATCTCAAAAAACCACAACAAGTACCACAAACTGGGTAGCTTAAAACAATAGAAATTTATTGTTTCCCAGTTTGGGAGGCCGGAAGCCTGAAATCAAGACATTAGCAGAGCCATGTTCCCTCCACATCCTCTAGGGGAGGGACCTTCCTTGTTTTCTAGCTTCTGGTAGCTGGGCATTCCTTGGCTTGTGATAGCATAACTGCAAACTCTATCACCATCTTCTCATGGCCATCTTCCTTCTGTGTCTGTGTCCCAATTTCCCTCTTCTTATAAGGACACCAGTCATATTGGATCAAGGAACTCACCTTATTGGCAACAATTCTATCTCCAAATAAGGTACATGGGGGTTAGGTCTTTAACATCTCTTTTTCAGGAGGACGCAATTCAACTTATCACAGCCATCTAACTCACATTGTGCCAAGCAGAGTACCTTCCCTGGGACTTTGGAATTGAGATAGAAATTCTAGTCACAGCCTAGGCTGACCTCATGATGAACAAGAAGGCAAAGTAGAGCTGAGGCTCAGTCCTTCTAACTCTATGGCCTAGCAGAGAATGCCTATTTACAGAAAGAGGGGAATGAGGCTCAGCGCCCGTGTAGCTAAAGCTTAGGGTGCTGGCGACATACACTGGGGCTGGCCAGTTTGAACCTGGCCAGGCTTGCTAAACAACAGTGACAACTACAATAAAAAAAATAGCTGGCCATTGTGGAGGGCACCTGTAGTCCCAGCTACTTGGGAGGCTGAGGTAAGAGAATCACTTAAGCCCAAGAGTTTGAGGTTGCTGTGAGCTGTAACGCCATAGGACACTACTAAGGGCAATATAGTGAGACTCTGTCTCAAAAAAAAAAAGAGGAGAATAAAAGAGTAGATATGGGGTAGAGAAGCATAGATGAAGGGGGCAGAAGAAGGGTCCTCCTGTGGGCAATTTCCTACTGGAGACCTCAGAACCTTTCTGTAGCTCTATTGCTTTCTTGCTGTGGGTTCCCCAAGACACCTTGTATACTAACAGTAAGGCTTGTTTTGTTTGCTTATGGAAGCTCAACTTGGTTTCTCTTGCTTACAAGCAAAGATAATAGAAAAGCTAGAATCAGAATAAGATGCTGTATTAGTTTTCTTTTGCTTCTGTAACAACTTACCACTAAGAGTGCTTAAAACAACACAAATGTACCAGGTGCAGTGCAGTGTGCAGTGTGATCCTATCACTCTGGGAGGCCGAGGCCAGT